AGTAGGAGCAAGGCCGCTACTAGGGGCTCCTGGCCTCGCTAGTAGGACCAAGGCCGATAGTAGGGGCTCCTGGCCTCGCTACTAGCAGCAAGGCCGCTACTAGGGGCTCCTGGCCTCGCTACTAGCAGCAAGGCCGCTACTAGGGGCTCCTGGCCTCGCTACTAGGAGTAAGGACGACTAGGGCCTCCTGGCCTCACTACTAGGAGCAAGGACGCTACTAGGGGCGAGCAAGGACGCTACTGGGGCTCCTGGCCTCGCTACTAGGAGCAAGGACGCTACAAGTAACAAGAAGCTACTAGGGGCGCCTGGCCTTGCTACTAGGAACAAGAAGCTATTAGAAACAAACCATTATATAAAATAACTTCATTTACATTATTTGAATATCAATGAGCTAAGTATTGACTTGCCAATCTGCTCTGCGTAGGAGCTTGATGCTGAGCTTTTTGATGCCATGATGCGAAAAGCAGGCAGGGCTTCTGTAGGGGGCGGTCTTTTCTGGCAACTCTTCTTGGCTGCTAGGAACTCACAAGTCGACCTGTCCCGGCGATGTGGACCAGGACTTGCTCTTGAACAGGCGCACTTGGAAGTGCGGAAGACATAGATGAACACTGTTGAACGGGACGGAAGTTAAGCATCTCGAAAGCTGAAGACAGCCGTTAGGTTCACGAAGCTACTAGTAACAAGGGCATTGCTATTAGTAACACGAAGCTACTAGTGGCAAGAACCTACTAGGTGGAGGCCATCGCTAGGAGGCCATTACTACTAGTAACAAGAAGCTACTAGAAACAAGCGCATCGCTACTAGTAGCTTCTAAGCCTCAATCGACAGCCGCTAGGGCGTGTCAACACAGCCTTTCAGGCCGTTGGTCGAGAAGATGGCCAAGTCGGGCTTCAAGAAAGACCGGACTGTACCGATGCTAGAGAAGGCGACGTTGAACAAGGAAACGCACCTCACAACCTAACTTTTTAGGAGCAAGGACGCTACTAGGGGCTCCTGGCCGTACTACTAGTAACAAGACGCTACTAG